TACTGAAGACCTATCTTCTTACATGTAATTGTATTTCTATTTGAAATGTGTGTGATGTGTCCTGTTATTATGTTTGTTCCTTTCAGGACTCCACGTGGTCTGTGTTCTGTTTTTAGGTTGACCTTAAATGTATGCCTCATGTCTCTGTGGTCTTCATTTTAACTTTTTACTTGTGAAGCACTTCTATTCAATCTATTTCTGTGAAAGGTGCTATAATAAATAAAAAAGAAGCCATACAAAAGGACCATTATTACTGGGGGTCAATCGAAGGGGACATAAAACACAAGGAAAAAGCCCTAGTTGAATTGCCAACACCTAAAGAAGGTGATTTGTTTATGTCCAAACTGTGCCAATGAATTCAGTTTTTTAATGTGTATATGTTGCTTTGTACAATATAGTAGGTGCAATTTGGGCCATGCGACGTACAGTAATAGAATATTAGAAATATCCCCTGATAATGCCTATTTAATGGGCTGACACCAACATGTGTTGCCATTAGTCCATTCATGGATAACACATATATATATATATATACATATATATAGTGTGTATGGTCCTAAAATGGTCAGGTTTAGCAAAACCAGTGAGTCGTTTTTATTGGACATACAGTATAGTCGCTAGCTATCGTTATTTATCGGTAATCATTATACTACACATGTAAACATATAAATTATGATTACATGTCATAGTGAAGTTGTTTAGGATCCTAGTTTCCTGAGGATAGAAGCTCTAGCCTTTCAGCCTCAATGATTGTCCTTGCCTTATGCCTGCAGCGCCTGTGTAAATCATTTAGTTTCCATCTCGGTTGTTGAGATTAAGGTGTATTTTTTAATTTTCCTTTAAGGCCCTGTTTACAGTGCACATATTTTAATGAACTTGCTCTGAGCACTAACAATGCAAGAAGCAGCCGTGACCGTGCTGATGTCAACAGAGAGGGGCTTATAAACTAATGAGCTCCTTGGAGATATAATATATTCAATATGTATGTTACTGACCCAGCACATAGTTTTAAACACTGTGACCTTAGGTTTAGTATTTGTGTGTCTCAACTATTTTCCACACACACACACACACACACACACACACACACACACACACACACACACACACACACACACACACACACACACACACACACACACACACACACACACACACACACACACACACACACACACACACACACACACACACACACACACACACACACACACACACACACACACACACACACACACACACACACACACACACACACACACACACACACACACACACACACACACACACACAGTGCTTTATTAAGATATTTGTTTCTTTCTCTAATCCCTAGACTCAAGTATAAATGTGCTTGTTTTTTAACCTTTAACCAGTCATTTGACTGGCAGTACGTAATATCGGTCTAATAACAGTGTAACATGGGCGTAATACGGGTGATATCATGTGTAAAGTGGGTCTAATTACAGCATAATTGGGATATATTGGGTTCAATACGGGTGTAATGACAGTTTAATTACCGTGCATTATGTGTCTAATAACAGTGTAATATGGTTGCAATGGAACATGGGAATAATAAGGGTGTAATATTGGTGCAAAATATGGTGTAATAGGGGTGTATTGATGTGTAACATGGGTATAATAACAGTGTCATGTAGAAAATAGCAATAAATACATTTCCCCAAATATTTATATGTGATTTCCCGTTTAGGGTTTAATGAAAGCCGCCCTGAATTGTTTTTAGTATTTAGAAATGACAGAATTTGATGCAAAATATTAGGCAGCTACATTGAGGTAAGGGGAGAAACATTTGGCCAAGAAATAAATCCTAAAATGCAAATCTGAGGCACTTTGCAAGCAGCATTAATGAATCCATATATGAAATAAAGTCTCAAGAGGGAAAAAAGCAGTATAGGTGCACGTCGTATCACAGGATATTAAAGCCTTCCTGTCTTTCCTTCCCTTTCTTAATAATCAGAAGCCTTTCTGGTTGCTAACAACACTCCACACACAGACGCTGCGTGTGAGTGTGGGTGCCTGTGTGGGCCGTCTAATAGGTGCCTGTGTAATTGGCTGGTTGACAGGCGGATCACTAACAGGCGTGAGATGAAGGGCTCAGGGGAAGAGGCGTCCATCCTCACTCTCCTTCTGTTCTCATGTCACCGTGACTAACACACATCTGTAAGCAAAACCTACGGAGGCTGCTCTGCAATCTAAGGTTTGACAATTTAATACCTTGGAAATTAAAGAATCAGTATGTACCGTGTTTATGTTTGATATCGTACTTCTGTGTTTTGAAACAACAAATACACAATATGTATTAGACAGAGCCGTGGAGAGAGGGGTGAACCGTCAGTGGAGATGACATAAAGCAACTGCTGCTGTACAGTGACACTTGTAGGTCATTTGTGAGTTGGGAAGTGTGATTTATGATTATTGTACTGGCAACTATAGATTGCTAGAGGCTTGGCAGAGTATTAACCTAATGTGTAAAGGTTCTGTACTCCCCTGGGGGAGAGAACAAGACAGAGAGAAAGACCATGTGGATGATCGAGAGAGTCGGAGCGTAAGAATATAGAGGGATACAAAAAGGTTATGTGATCATAAAGCCTTTAGCAACCCCATCAACTTTTTTCTGGTTTATCAGTGATGTGTTTTTACTATATCGCACACTCGAGTCTCTGTTAACAGCAACAAAATCAATGAATGTATGATTCACAATATTGGAGAGATTGATAATTTTTTTTAATCATAAGGCCCAATATGGTGAACAAATATATGAAAGGGACTATATTATGCTCATTTTCAGGATCATATTTGTACGTTGTGTCTCTGCTGTGACATGCATTAATGTTGAACTGCCTGTTCCTGTATTTGGAATCTATTTATCTGGAAGTTGTTGTTTTCATAGATGCATTACAGTATGCCATTTGTTACACCATTACAATAACAACCCAAACTACAAAATATCTCTCCAGCAATTTAAGGATGTTTTGAAAATGAATAACATATTTGTTCATTCCCTCATTCCCTCTCTCATAGGGAAAACGTACATATGTTCAAGAAACTATTCCTAAGTTTTACTACGAAATAGTTTACTTTTCAGGACTTTGAAGGCAGTGTACTATTCACAGCACAATGCATCCAACAAACACCATATGCTACTTTTTTAATTTGTTCAGACACCTAAAAGCAATTATTTTTTTAACAGCCTGTCCGGTGGAGAAGAAAAGGAAAATCAACTTGCCAGAAAATAGCCCAAAGTAGTAATCAGCATCACTTTTGAAAGGAGAGAAAGTGGCATATTGAAATAACTCGGGGCGTTGTCCTATCACTGTGAATACAATATTTAAAAGAGGAAATATCCACTCAGGACAGAGATATTGTAGATGTTTCACTGGTTAGAGGGATCTAATCTTAGAGGGGCCCAGTGCGGATACAGCCTGATCCCTCGTGGATTTTCTGCACTTTTTAATGTCCTACTTTAAATCCCCAGCAGCTGCTCTGCACCTGATCCTGGGCTCTGACATCCCTGTTAGGACAGCAGGTGAGAGCAATGTCAGCCCCCTCAGGATGTCAAATCAAATAACGTTTTACGGATGCACACTAAAAAAGCTTATTTCATATAACTAGCTTTTCTTTTGTCTGAAGGAGGGCCCTGGGTTGTTGGTGTGTACAGCGTAGATACAAAAGGCTGAACGGATGTTATAGTCGATAAACTCATGTTCTTTAAATGTACGTCCCTGTTTTTAAAGGGTTTCAAATCATACACAGGAAGTAACACAGGAAGGTCTCTCCTTTGTATAGAAAGTGCGCCTCACAGGAAGATAATTTACTCCACAGCTTCACTCTTTGTCCAAAATACAAGGCCACTGGATCAATGGATCCTCTTTATTGTCAAAGATATTGAGCGACCAAGCCCAATTGCAATAACTCTGAGGAAATGTAGAGATTAAATTAAACTAAAACTTGTGCTTCCTGGAAAATGGACCCACAGCTGCAAGAAAATATCCTATTATTTACGAAATAGTCCTAATCAAGGTCCAATGTTCAAGGCTTTTATTGGTCATACGAACATAGCTACAGTGTAGTTATGACGATGAAAATCTTAGGTCACAGGCTCCTCCAACAGTGCAACACAATAACACAGAAAAACTGAAAGAAATAGTAAATACAAAAAGAAAATAGTAAAAAAAAAAGTGAAATAGTGCAATAAGAGTCTATATACAAGTTATTGGAATATGATATATTAGATAAATCATTTCTAAGTAGCAGCCAGATTAATGTTATGGATGTTGTTTCAAAGTTCAGGTGTTTAATAGTCTTATGGCCTGTGAGATGAAACTGAAAAATATTGTCGCTATGGCTTACAGAAAGTAAAAACAAACTAAATTCACAGGCTACAGCTTCTTTTTCAGTATACACGTATTAGGAATGAAAACTGTGTGAGGAGAAATGTGCTGAAAGACCTAAGAAATTGGAACCTATAACCCAGAAATGTGTCAGCGACTCAGCACTTCTAGTTCGCTCATCTTTAGGTCAATGTTTTTTGTAATGTGGTTTTCGTTAGATGCCTGATCCAAGGTCTGTACAAGCTTATAAGATTATCACGTTTTGATCTACAACCTAACAATACAGCAGTAAAAACTCAACTAATGAATGCCTGAAGCTTCTATGTGTTCTATAAGCTGAACGAGACTACTGAACATAATCACATCAAACATTAGCCATTGTTAGCTTAGCAGTGGCGACCTGAAGTCACTTGACCGTTATGTATTTAGTATATGGACGGGCATTAGCTTCATACTTCTGGAAATTGCATTTACGGTTAAGAAATGATAAACTACAAAGATGCGTCCTACCTGCACCACTCTATAAGGGAGAGAGTCTATTGTTCGCACTCCATCGCAAGACCATTATTATCTAAAATGCACAGTTTCGTGTGTTAGATCAAAGTGAGGCGGTGTGTGAGGCTGCAAGTGTAAGATTGATTAAAGTAATACCTTGAGTCCTCCACACTCTGCTGCTGATCCCTGGTCCACGCCCGTGATGTAAATCCCCAGCGCATATTCTGCCCCCCCCCGGATCATCAGACCCAGAGAGCGGCCGTCGTCCAACACCAAGTTGACCTATTAAAGACAGAAAGAGAAAGAGATAAAGACGGCAGAAGCAGGGGTTAAATATTTAAAAATGGTGCGAACCAGACACTTCTTAAATATCAACATTTCAAATGACATTTTACGGTCTCAATTGAGCTGTGGGGCTGCTCACATTGAAATGGAAATGTGAAACACACCGCATAAAAGAAATGACAGCCCTGCTCTGAGCTGGGATTTGCCGGATGAAAATAGAGAGTTTCAGTGTGGTGCCTCAGAGCTATTAATAAAAAGGGATTTTGTTCTGATTGGAGAAAGGAGTGTTTGAATTGATCAATCAGTTTGTTTACAAGGCTCATCCATTTCAATCCCTGTGATAAGAGAGCAACCATTATAACATAATCCACCAACCGGTATTAATTGGACAACTACAAGATACCCCTGGTGTTTATACAGTACTTTAGCAGGAAGCTTAAATCCGTAGACCATTGCAAGAGACATTTTTACCACGCTCAATTAACTCTGTTTTGGTTCACCTGTACTTGAAACTCTTTTATAGGTCTCAGTGTCTTAATATCTTGTTTTAAGAATGTCTTAAAATCTTAAAATTGGGAAATTTAGAACCAAATCTGTGTCACAAATGGGTGTTCACCCAACAATTGTTGCAACAACTCATTAGACATAATAGAGAATTGGAATGGCCATCATATACTTCCATCATAATGTGGTTCGCCAAGTAACTCTTTGATCAGGAAAAACGTATTTAATGAAGGAGTGAACCTGCACAGATTGATGATGGTTTCCACACATCATATACTGTAGCTACATACTCCAGGTCTTAACCTCCCAGCCCGGCTTGATCTATGAAAGCCTTTGAAAGCTTTGAGAAGGCCTATTTGCTTTCTCTTCCGGAGGCTATAGGGTTTGATGAAGGGTTCATTTGTCTGATAAAAACGACTTTATACTAACCCACAGGCAGTGATTCCATCAGGTATAATCTGCTCTTTTTCCTTTGGAGCCTCTGGGTCATCTCATCAAGAGTTACCCTCAACTCAGCCGCTATCTGAGCCTTTAGATCACTTAATTCAGTAATCTTCTAATGTCAAAGCCATCTTTGTTCTTGGCACACAACATTACATCCTGGTTGATTGTCAAACGTTGTAATTAAGTGTCAATCTGGACGTTTTCCATTTAAATCAACGTCGTTTTAAGTTGATATCTATCGCCCAATGACGTTACACAATAGTGTTTGAGCTTATATGGGCAGCATTAGCTCAGTCTGTAGGGATATGGCTCTGAAACTGATAGGGTTGTCAGTTCAGTCCACCTCCTGAGCAATGACAAGCTGCCTTTGAGCAAGGCACCGAACCCCCAAGAGTGAAGAATTGAAATTCCCCTCTAGGATTTTTAAAAGTCCTTCTTTCTTTCTTATTTCCCAGGATGAAAGTATTGGAATATATGTATGTTTGCAGTACGAACAAGGGTGTTTGAAGTGACATTCAGAGATAACATGTCAATGACTACGAACATTTCCTTCTTCTGCAGCCTCACATTAAAGCTTTTAACTGACGTTGACTTTGAATGGAAGTAGTCAGGAAAATGCACTGCGTTTTTTCAGGGAGCCTTACAGTGACCATTAGCATTCATCAAAAGTGCATCTACAAAACAAGATGACAGCCTTCTTCGCATTTCTTGACAGCAAATGGTTTTGAAATATTGCAGGCGGGTAATTTAAGAGTCAGGATTAACCACTGTGAGCTGATGAAGAGCGACGGAATACAAACCTCAACTTCTTAGCCAGGTAACCAACTTTCACTGTTCACAGAATCAGGCCAGGACCAGCATACATTACACGCTATACGCATGAGAAATATGCGGATTCAACCCGTTTTCGTCCTCGTGGAGCCGGGGCCTCAGACCATGATTGAAAAAAGCCAATTATTGCCTGACTTTTAATTAAAATGACAGTAGTTTGTTATGCAGTCACCTTTCAAATTAAACCATATTTGTTTTAACCACCAGCGAAAAGGATGAGGCCAACGCCAACAGGAGTCCTTCAGGAATCCTCGACCAATTGACGACAACTTTTTAAACATTAATTAAGTAAATGTATCACTTTTTTTTTTTGATTGAACTGAAGTAGAGCAATACTCTTTAAGAAATCAACAGCCTTTAAAACACGTTGTCTATCATTCTGTATACTTGGATGAACTCAACTCAGCGGTTTCAAATCTACATTTATTTGGAGAGCAAAGACATTAAAGTTTTTCACAAGGAGAGTTCGAGTCGTGCCAGACTTTAAATGATACATCTTCCTCCATCACAAAGGGGCCTATTGATTACTTGGTTTGATCCTAATGAAGCTGTCTCTTTCCCAAGACTGAAAAGCGGGCTGAGTAGCACCTTGGCAACTACGAGATGACACATATGCAAATATCTCTATTAAACAATGTGAGTTGTATCCCTGCCATTGTCCCTCCGGTGAAGGTAAGGCATCTGGCACTGAAATCCTACTTTCCTCCAAATCTTAAGGCACGGTTTTTATTTTATTTTTTTAATAATCTGCTTATTGGAGCTGAGCCAGCCACCTTTGCTCACTGGGATCATGGCTGATTCATGCTCTCTGTGACATTCATGCAGGAGAAGGTTTTAATTACGAGCCTCATCCTTCTTTTATTGGCATACCGTAGGAGCGCGTATAGTTCTCTGGCATCAGCTGCCATCACTGAATCACTTTAATAATGCTCATTTCTCTTTAAGATTAGTCATGTGTGTTGTTTGTTTTATTAGTAATTGAAGCCTTTGTATTGGATAGACAAATTGATGTAATCACAGGAGGATATTATAATATTACACACATTATAAACAGTTTAATTAGCGCTGCATGTATAATTTGCATTAATTCAAAAGATCCTTAATATCAGAAATTGACATTCGTTTTTTCTTTTTAAAAGCAAAGAAGGTTAAATGGCGAAACTATCTTATAGACACTGAATTATGATTTCGGAGCGTTATCTGCATTGCAATAACTTCAGCCTGAATGAATGGATCTGAAGCAGGTAAGATTAATGTGTGGCTCCTGGCTGCTAAAAAATGGAAACTTCTCGTGTAATAAATCTTTGAAACAGCTCTGACAGCTCCTTCGCTGCAGGTTGTAAGGTGGTGACAGGGCGGAGTTTTGTGGGACTGAAGGTACAATTACATTTATGGTTTAAGTTTTTTTCTTCAATGTCCATCATCTACTGTATGTCAATTACCGAGACTTACTATTGTAATTCATTTTAAAGGACATAGTATGCTAATTTTCAGGTTACAATTTGTATTCTGTGCCTCTCCTGTGACATGTCTCCATGCTTTAATGTTCAACAAGTTCTTTATTGTTCTCATACTGCCTGTGCGTCACCCTCTGTCTGAAACCAGAGCCCAGTCTGCTCTGATTGGTTAGCTAGCTGGCTCTGTTATGATTGGTTAACCGCTTGGAGATGTCCCGCCCCTTAGCCCATCACGTACTGTGTTGGAGCGTTAGCCAATAAAAGCGAGAGTTACAAAGTGATTATATTATCAATACAGACTTCCATTAAAGTCACCCTGGTCACATTTGTTGGAATCTGATTATTTGGTGAGCATTTGAATAGTTTTCACTGAAAAAAGGGGCTTTGCAAGCAAAATGAAAGAATTATCCTGAAAGTAATTAACTTATTTATTAGACCCAAAAATATTCAGACAGTGATTTGATTGAATGTCTGGGAGAAAACGTCATTAGTTGGGGGAGGTAATATGAAAGTAAGGGTTAGGGTCAGGGTTGTAGATAGTTTGAAGGTTTGTTCAAAGAATGCTGCTGTTACAGTGGCAAAACTTGAAATTGAATATAAGACATTTATTATATTTTCTTATGGTATTTATGATTTATAGATCAAGGACTTTTATATTATGTTGCTTAGCTTCAGGGCTCTGCAGTGCGAGTCTTTCACCCCCTAAAAATAGAAATATGTGAACCGGATAAATCATTTAAGAGCACACCGTGTGAGTAGATTAAACTGAAGTCCAGCCTCCTCAAAGATCGTTTTTCATATATTCTTCTAGTCTTTTAGGCCGAGGGCTTGAGAAACATGAACAGAGTGAAGCGAGATCTACAATATCAAGACAACCTATCGATATATTACCATCTATCATTTCCAAAGTAAGCAATTTTAAAGCCTACAAAAGCTTATTCTGAATCCAGTAGATTACTAACTCAAAGGAATTAGTGAAATGTATATTAGCATATTTTCATTTACACAGTACACATAGTATATAAGGAGTTGGCAGTTAAAATACCAGTAAAGCCATTGAAGACCACCTAACTGGATTATTTTCCATTTAATATATATACTTTTGTAATACTATTTACTTGCACTATATGTGTCTGTTTATCTGTGTTTTGTGTTGCACTGTGACACAAGATTTTCATCGGCATAACTACACTGTAGCTATGTTCGTATGACTAAATAAAGAACCTTGAATCAGAATAAATCAATTCTAAAATATGTCAACCTTTAATCAGCTTGCAATTTAAGTGTGTAACATAATGGCGTAGTGTCTGGATACTAAGGGCGTTATATAATGACATAGTGTCCAGATAATAACTAGGATCCCCATTTCCATACTTCTCCACTGTACTGGATCTTACCTCATGATTGTAGAGAAAAAGATGGAGCACACAGACACATGTACAATACATGTGTTCAATACATTTATTTTTTAATAAACTGCATTAGTTGAATACCTTTTACTGTGCCCATAACATTTATTTTTGTAGTCATATTTCTCTTATTTAGGATTACATGTGCTTGGTAAAAAAAGAAAAAATGAGGGTGACGCTCCTTAGCATAATAAAGCTAGCATTTTGCAAATGTTTTAAACCAATGAAAGCCATGGCCACCAATAAGATATGTTTTCTTATGAATCATTATATACAATACTGAGAAAATGTTATTCAGAAGATGAATATTTCACTCCTTTTGCATTTCTTTCAAAAAATGTACTTTTTGAACTGTACTTAAAAATATTAGCCACAGCTCCACATTTCCATCACTCCAGTGTTGTGTTCCCCGTGTAAACTCTCACCTTCTTCTCGTCCCCGTCCTGCAGAAGCTGCATGTTGCTGCGCCGCTGGCTGTCAGTTCTCCTCAGGGTGGCGCTGCGATGCACCGTCAGGTCAGGAGGAGGGGACACACTCCGGCCCTGAGGGTCCACCCAGGTGTAAACGTGGTTGGTGACGTAGCCGCCTGGAATCCGCCCGACTGAACGCACGGAGAGGCTGAGCTTTTTATTGCCCTTCAGCACCTGAGGAGAGGAGAGTCAGACATTTGTAATTCTAACAACAGAAATAATTGCAAGTTCAAAGAGAAAATTCCACACTTTAATCTATTTCAAATATGCCTACATAAATACATTCAGGGTAAAAAAAACACAGTGAGGTTGAAGCAGTGCATTTCAAAGTAGGACACATTTGGTAGAAAAGTCAAGACTAATCCAGCAGTGCCTCTGACTGCAGAAACTCCAAACCCCCCCCCCCCCCCCCCCCCCCCCCCCCCCGCCCGCCCACCGCACACACAACAAACACATTTCCAACGTATTTCGACTGAAATTGCCCCTGGCTGTGCCTCATTGCCTTCTGATAGCTTGCAGTATGTGCAATCCCTCTGCAGATCAATGTATTCCCATGTGCTCTGTGGTTTGAGAAATCAGACCGATTGGGTTTTAAGATCTTAATGATCAAACAATCCTTGTGCAGCACAAACTCAAACAGAACCTCAGCTTTCATTTCAGACTAGAGATGATCACAAACACTGCCGTTATAAAAGCTGATATTACTCCAGCAGAGTCATTTAAAAAGTCTCTACGTGAAAAGATTGTATATATTTTGCAATTGAAAATGTGTGTTACACGCTAACATTGAAGTCACAGGTATACTTCACAATGCATTTAAAAGAAAAAAACAAGACATTGTTAGGATCCTAGACGCTAATAACAATCCCATTTCCCAAATATTCATCCCCCTTCTCCTTTTTGAGTTGGAGAGTAAAGGTTATACCAATGATGGAGCAAAGAAAGTTGATCATGTTAGATAGGAAAGCAGTTGGGGAAGAGTTCCTCTGGACAATGCATTTAGGGATATCTCCAATGTACAACAAGGTTACAGAAAAGTCAGGTTTCAGGTGTGGAAGCTCTGAGATTAAATGACCCACTCCTTTTCAAAAAGGCTTTACATGTTCTTGATAGCTACAGGCTCATTATGAATGAGACTTTATCAAATAGACTGCAAGCTGGCAAAGCTGCTATCAGCAACCTCATTCATTCAGCTCATATGGAAATATCATGAACACTGTTGATAGAGCGTTCTGGCTGGGAAAACTTTAAGGTTCAGAGCTCTCTTTTCAAACTCTTTAAATGAAACCAGGATCCTTTTTTGTTACCATGATAACAAATTAATCTTAATCTTGCTTTTTTCAGTATAAGTGACCTGGCATAACTTGGCAACCAAAACAACGGATACAGTTTTAGCTAGACCCTTTAATCTGTGTTGCTATTGGGAGAAAATGTCACCGTGTACTGTTATTCATTATTCAGCCATTTGCATTTCTGCTTCACAATCCAACATTCATATTAAAGGCTTTCAATTTCCTTTTGTTTAGACATGTCATTCCAGTTGTCAGTCGTATTACTTTTATGTTAAAATAAATCTAAAAGTGCTAACCATGATACCTCATTGAGGCCTTGCAGCTGACTCCATGTGGTAACAAAGACTTCCCCAAGTAGCTCTATGTTCTTTAGCAAACAAATTGTCTCTATCTTCTCTTAAGTGAACAACATTAATCCGTCCTCATCAGTCTTCTGCCGACAATACGAGCAAGGTCCTACTAAATCCTCTAGTCGGGATGCCGATTAACATATGCTGCAAGGAGCAGCTCAAATTATTACTTGTCAAAGTGCTGCAGATTGCAGAGGAGCCTCGTCTCCTGGAGCACAACGATCGCGGCTGAATCAATTTCACAATCCTGATGTGTGCTGAGAGATAATAACTTCAATTCTGAGGCAACAAAACCCTGTCAGCAGTGAAGATCACTGACTGGACCAAAACCCCTGCCATCACTCCCTCCCTCTTCCACCCCCCATCTTGGAAGCATCAATGCAGAAGTTGAGATGGAACTTTACAACAGATAAGTTCAGCATTACATAAGCAGACGCACTGTTATATAAAATGAGAAACCTGCGTACAGAAAGGCACAAAAAAACTAAAAGCAGCGTGAAGTCCAAAAAGTGCCTGTCTTCTTGATTTTATTATCGTGTCTAAAATGTGACAGCGGGGATGTCGAAGGCTATCTCCTTTATTTGAACAATGCACATTTCCACCCAATGACATGTGTCACAACCCTCTGAGCCATCACATATCACCAGGGGGTCCTGGGGAATACAAATGTAATCATGGTCACACCGTTTGCAGACTGAACATGCTGCAAAAAAAGAAGGTAATGTTTCATGGAAAGGAAATGGGTTCACAAATATACACATAGTCCTGTATCAAATATGTTGTTGGTTAACGTCCAAACTAGACTTTAGTCAACACCTGATTTCCTGTCTGTACAATGTATTATACTATATCATAATAGGGCTTCACAATAATACAAAAAAAACCTACATAAAATGATTATGGTGAGGAACCAAATAAGTATATCATTTGTTACTAGTCCAAATTAGATACATTTCTATCAATTGTGCAGCTCTAAACCATAATATGAAATATGTAGTACATACTGTAGACTACTTGTGAAAAAAAGTACACTATCATTCCTATTTTAGGAAAGGAAGAAAGGTTCTATGTGGTGCAGATATCACTGCAGAATAACTTCAAAGTAAGTTCTGTTTTTATCTCAAGTGTTTTTTCTTTATCTGCCGATTATTACATCTCAGAACATTGGCTTCTTTCCAAGACACTTTGCCCGGCCGGCCACAGAGCATCACTTTGATTCATAGCTGCAAAACAGAGCTTATCATAGTGCATGTTCGTCTGAGAAATGTAACTGCATTTGGGGGAAATGAAGGGAGAAAAGTGAAATGAGCAGTGTTGGGATTCAATGAGAAGCAGTATGCCAGGGAGTTAGGACAACATGACACACAAGGAGAAACGAGAAGACGGAGCGTAATGGAGGGGATGGAGGGGATGGAGGGAGGGCAGTGGGTTTAAGCGGCTGCTCCATCATGTGAATAAGAAACAGAGGTAATCGACTAGCATCCGTACAGTGGTCCTAATGCGGCGTGTCTCCAGGAAAGTGCTGATTGTGACACTGGGCTGATGAAGCTCTGCCCCGCTTTCACACAGAACGAAAAGTGCTGGGAAAATAATGGAATATAAATAATAGCAGAGCGTAATGGGAAATGGCAGCGGCAGGTAAACTGTTTTCAGATGATGCCGCGGAAAAAACAATACGCTCTCATCAGAGTCTGGCAAATCCATTTCATACACAAAAGCTGAGTGCAAAAAGCCCGGCTGTAGAAACCATCCAGTTCAATCACTTAGAAACGCCCGGCCACACACTGTAGGAGATTTAAAGGTGCCTGGTGTCAGGAGAATTACCGTAAGAAATGACTTGTGAGACATGAGGGATTCAACCGTAACCCAAGGTTGTGCAAAGAGCATTCAAATACCCTGCTGGTGCTTCAAAGGCTTCAACTGGAGTAGCTAGGATGATATCATGAGCAAATAAACATGTTTTGTGACTTGACAACTATTTAATTGAGTCTGTAGATGAAATAAAAACAAGTCAATAATAATATTAGACAACAGATTCCCTAGGCTGTTAAATCATTTATACAAAAGGAAGTGTATTCATTCTGCCAGTGTAAAGACCTGATAAATAAAACCAATGTGAATGTACTCGCATTTTTGGAAAATGTAGGCAATTACTGATTCTTACTCTATAAATAGCTATTTATAATACCATCTTAGTCTTTATTTAAAGTGAGATCAAATGAATGAAAGTACAGAGTTACCTTAACAAATACTAAGTCTTAAAGGTCCCATGTCATGGCCATTGTTGAGGTCTACTAGAATAGATTTAAATTGTGCAATTTTCCAAACTCACATTGGTTTCTCACACAGCATCTCTGTATAGTATGTGTATTCACCAGGTATTCACTCTCTGTCCTAAACGGCTTGTTGGAGCTCCTGCCCCCCCCCTCCCTGTGAGCCCAGTGTGCTCTGATTGGTCGGGACGTTGCGAGGCTCGCTGCTGCCGATTTCTCCGCGATCCCAACTCGTCTATTACCAGCGTTCAGGGAGCTCTATGCAAGTCAATGGGGACTCCCTGTTAGTTAGCCAAGGGATCCTGGTGTGTGAGGTGCTCCGCGGATTGGTCCATTTGGGCCAATCCGGTCATTTGTTGTTGATTTGGGTGTTCACACGTCACAGAACCAAGGAAGCAAACAATGGAAAATGAGAAATCTCCAACGAGGCGTTCTGGGGCAGCATAGACAGGTCTTTTCTGTGTTAGAGTTTTACTCGCTACAGGGTGTACTTTGAGGGTTTGTGACTCTGCAGACTGTTTACATGCAGAAAAAGCTACATAACACACAAGGGGACGGGTAATAACTGGAAAAGCATGACATGGGCCCTTTAAAGTAAGGAGAATTAGACATCAAGAATGACCCAAATTATGTAAAACTTGTCAATAAAAACAAATTAAGTAGGATTAATTATTGAGTAACAAACAGAAGTGAGTGCCCTTACACACAATATAATGTTTTGGAAATGTAACTACTGTAGCATAAGAGCTCATATATTCCTTGCATATCATGCCAAAAAAACTCTTGAGAATGGTTAGTGCTTTTCTGTCATTAAAGAAAGGATTTATTTCTGTGTTCTTTTATAGAAATAAAATCCAAAATGTGTATTTAAATCATGAACAATCGCTAAGTTGGCAACACTCCAACTGTATTCAAACCCCCTCCAAGGCTCTACCTGAGGATCAACAGAAGAACACTGAAGTCTCTGCTTTCTCCAGGGTTCAGACGAGGTGGGTTTGGACAGGTGGATTTATGCGAGTAAAAGAGAAAAGGCCCACCTGTTGTCCGTTAAAAGTGTTTCTTCTTTGTAGGGCACATGATTCGGCTGCAGAGCTGAAACCACTCCACGCTAATTGTTCCCTGTAATTGCACACGCTTGATAAGATGTTGCAAACACACAGAATGCAGAGGTAAACACGGCTTTATCAAAGCGTGCAATCTGTGCGCACAGTCACACACACACAAACACCCAGAGCACACAGATCAGATGTATTGAAGTG